GAGAGAAAAGAGAAGAGATGAACAGGGAGAGAGCAAGAGCAAGAGAGACAGAGAGCGCGCGTAAGAAAGATAAAGAGCAAGAGAGAGAGAGCAAGAGAGAAAGAGCAAGAGAGAAAGAGCAAGAGAGAGAGCAAGAGAGAGAGAGCAAGAGAGAGAGAGCAAGAGAGAGAGGGGGCCTGGCAGGAGGGAGTTTTTATAGCCCAAATCTAATAGGGCCTCTGGGTCTGCAGGCTGCCTTGTTGGCCCAAGGGGGGGTTAAGTGTTCAGCCTTAAGCAGGGTTGAATGTTCAAACTTGAGGCAAACAGGTGATAGAGGACCAGATAGAGGGGGGTTTGAGTGCGTGGGCTATCTTGCAGCCAACATCTGTTCAGCCTGCCCTGCACCCAACACAACTGATCCCCTTATTGTGGGATCCTGACATTTAACTTCATCAAGATGCCTTTAATGCTTGAAGTTTTATTCACGGAAGTACCATTGTTTATTTAGTTTTAAAGTTCCAACCAGAACATCTCTGAAGATTAGTGTATCCTGCCAAATAATACCTTTAGCATTGTAAAGCAGACAGTGTGATTGAAATCCAGGACTTAATCTTCCATGAAACTTGTGTTTATTCAAGCAAAGTTCAACTGGTCAGCAAAGGACAAGAATAAATTAGTTATACAATGAAAGAATTAGTGGTATAAACAATAGAAATTAGGAAACTTTTTCCCAATTATTTTGAAAATACCTCCTCTCAACTACATTTATTTATTTATTTGTGTATTTAGAGAGAGAGACAGAGAGAGAGAGAATTTTTTAATATTTATTTTGTAGCTTTCGGCCGACACAACATCTTTGTTCGTATGTGGTGCTGAGGATCGAACCTGGGCCGCATGCATGCCAGGCGAGCGCGCTACCGCTTGAGCCACATCCCCAGCCCTACATTTTTTTTTTTTTTTAAAGCAAGGGTAATGGCTTTTTCTTATGCCAATTGTGGGATAACAATATTAGAAACACAAGTCACTTTTTCTCCAATCCATTTCATTATTGACTTGTCGATGTTGGTCTCTTGAGTCTTTTATGTCTAGGGTTCTTGTCTCTTGAGGATTTTCCTCCTTCAAATTATGTGAGCATTAATATAATCACCTATACTGGAGCTTCTCTTTGTTTTAGTTTTCCCTGAACTTAAAGCTGAATGCATGGCTTACATTACAAAGATTTCATTTTAAAACTTACTCAAATGTTACCAAAGTGTTTAAAGGTGAGACTATGATAGGCCATGAAAGTCTAAAGTCCTGATACTAATAGAAGAGAATAAGAGGTCCCAGTACACACAGACCTGTACACATTGCTTTCTTTCTTTCTTTTTATAATATTTTTAGTTTCAGACGGACACAATACCTTTATTTATTTTTATATGATTCTGAGGACCAAATCCAGTGCCTTACGCATGGCAAGAGCTGTACTACTGAACTACAACCCTAGCCCTTTCTTTTTCTTTTTTTTTTTTTTTAATACCGTTTGTTATCTTGCTTCCTAAAATTTTGCCAGACACTCCCTTTGGTTATTTCAGACCAAAACAGAAAAGGTCGATGGCAAATCTTTTTCAGATGTGTGGAAAATTAATTCTATACTATTTTCTTGAGAAATTGTGACCATTTCCACCCCTACTACATGTTTTTATAAAACTGTTGGGGGGGGGGGCGGGGAGTAGGAAGCAAAACCAGTGGCAAGTCCTTGAATTTCAGTTATTTGGTTAATGCAGGAGAAGTCAGGCCATCTGCATATGACATGGTATACCTGGGAGGCGTTAACAGATGGGATCACCCCATAGAGCTTACTTGGTATGCTTATCCTCACTGGGAAAGTTAAACATGCCATGGAAGGAATGAGTATATCTTCTGGATTGTGTCATGTTGTATTTATGTCATCTAGAGCTCAGGGTTGTGATTTAGATTGAGGAAGTCAGCAGAAGGACACTGTGTTATAATTTTTCAGTTATGATCAGCCACTTCACTCTTTGGAGAAAGCATTTTTAAGGTGAGCAAATAGAACAGTTGCCCAGCCAGTTCATCTCTAAGTTGCACTTTAGCCATGAGATTAGTTATTTCTGTATTGCCTTATGAATTAATAGTTTTATAGCATTTGAAGCAGACTTTAGTAAAGTGTCACATGTTTGCAAACTATAACAACTTATTATACCTAAATCATATTTTATTTGTTTCCACCTTATTCTTCCTGCCCAAAGTTCCCGTTGCCATTTGACCATTACTACTTTTACTCTGTCTCATTATCCTTTCCCAGTTTTGTCCCTTTGATGTTTGTCTTGCATGGCTAGGAGTTTTATAAAGCACTAGCCTTTACAAAAGAGATGGATTTTTTGCGGTAATCTCTGTACTCCTCTCACCCCCAAATAAAAGATTTACTGTAGTTAACAAATTTAGGCTTCAGAATTCTTTTGAGACCATTTGTTGCCTGGCCCTGCCAGGGCTTATGGGTATCCAACTCAAGGTTTGTTCCTGTGGTAATATCTCAGTTGAGAAATCATTGAGGAGCATCAGGCTCAGATACCCAAAGCCTTTCCTTCCCCCCTCCCCCCCCTCCCTCCCTCTCTCTCTCTCTCTCTCTCTCTCTCTCTCTCTCTCTCTCTCTCTCCTCTACCCCAGGTTTGCCTGATGTTTCCCCATAATACTTCTTTGAAGGGTGGCTGTGCCTTAGGGCATCTGGCAGCTAATGCTATCAGCTCTGGAACATCTTAGGTTCCCAGGCACATGGGTTATAGAATTTCGGTTAAGATTTCTTTATAATTGCATTTACAAATAACAGGGCTTTTGAATTCTGGTAGTATTTCTTCCTATATATAAAGTGATTTGAACTAAGAAGATGAAATTGAGTCATACAGTTCTTACATGTAGTTGGTATCATAGTCTAAATTTCTTGATGGCAACGGGAATACCTTATGTATCATTGTATCACATGCCTGGAACATAGTGAGCATTCTAAATTTTTGTTGAGTAACAAATGGGGGAATAACAGGAATAAAAAATGGCAATATAAATTTAAGAATAGCTTATGCAGTGTTGTAAAAACGTCTTTTAAATGATGTTTAGGAATCAGTGGATCCTCTGTGGCATGACCATACATGACCTCTTAAGGAATTCACAAGAACATACTTATAGAAGGTCAGGTGGACAGCTAAATGATAAGGTTTGTTCCTGTGGTAGTATCTCAGTTGAGAAATCATTGATAAATGATAAGGTTGTTCTTGGCTAGCATGCCGCTCCTTGGGGCTACAGTCAGATTTTCTTCATATGCTCATGCTTAAATCATAATAAATAATTAGATATTTAAAATTAATTTTAATAAGAACAACAAAGTGACAAGATTAAAGACAGTGTTAAAGAAAAATTTTTTGAAAAAAAGTACGAGGCTTAGTTTTACTACATATTTTTTATGTGTGTGCATAATTCATATAGCTGTATTAACAATATATTTTTTCTTGGTTTTTTTTCCAGCTAACATGGTAATTTTCCATGCAATCAATATATTTTAATTCTGCACACATATGAGATTATGCAACCTGGCATCTTAGCATTTGTGTAGAAATTTTGCCAAATTATTTATATAGGCCAAGGGTGAATAAGACTGAATTTCTTAGGTTAGTACATTAAATATCATTTGATTGCTTTTTTTTGGCAGTATACTTTTGGGAATCTGGTTTTATTTTGTGGCTAAACAGAAAGAAGATAGTCCATACTGGTGGGAGTTTTAGGGAATTTTTTTTCTTAAATGTATGTTTCTGTTTTCTGAGTATGTCATGGTTGAAATTAGAAAAATGTAAATTATTTATGCAGCTGAGGAGATTCTTTATGTTGTTGATTTGTTCAGGGCCCTTTTATAGAAAAAAATGTTACTAAGTGATGTGTTTACTAGGTGAAGTGAGTCTTTCAACAGAACTTGAAGTTCTTTTATAGTTCGATATTTCTAGATGAGTGTTTGAAAATGGCACTGTTTATTTGAATTATGTCTTTGAACCTTCTCCAACTTTTTTTTTTTCTGTGTGACCTGGATGAGACATCTAATCATAACTGAAAAAGTAGAGATAAAAAAATTTGGTGTTGTGATTATGATTATATTGATAAGTTCATATTCCATAGGGCTACTGTGAATAGAGGGAGCATTTAAAAATTGTGTTGGGCTCTTTTGAACAACTTTTTCAGTGTGGGGTAAATTGTTAAGAATCCCCCATTCTTAGGAGGAAGTGTAGATAAAGACGACAGGGACCTAGAAGCTATGTAGTATGTCCTTATTGATTACAGGTTTCTTCTGAGCATAGGACTTAGTAGACATAGGCATTTGGTCTTGTGGATCAGGGAGTCCCAGCCCAGGACTGGGTGTGCTGACTCATCTGGTGTTTTTCCTGCAGTGCCTAGCCCTGTGTTGATTGGGTGGTTTTTTTTTTAGCTTGAGAAAGATCTGTCATCATTTTCAACTAGCAGCTTCCACCAAACCTCCTGACTGCAAAGAGTAGAAGACTTGTTAGTTCCCTTGCCCTGTATCATTGATAAATCAAATATAGATTTATGTGTGTATATATGTGTGGGCATGGAGGGCTGGGAGTAAGATCTTTCTATTCAGAAAGAGTGGGTTATTTCTATTGAAGATGGGGTTTGAGTGGAAGAGAGAGAGAGCCGTGATTGAAGGCTTACACAGCACAAAGTATTGTTAATCTAGTGGAGCAAATTTAGACTGAATACTGACAGTGCAAGCAGAGACCAGGCCCTTGGGAACTTGTCCAGCTTGAGAATGTCTTACTTGCTATAATCATTAAAAGGACAACTTAAAAAACTAGGGATTGGTTGTAAAATTACTGTATAGTTTTGGTGAGTGGGAGTTAAATGAATTATTTCAGAAAATAGTGGGGAAAAAATAGCCACACATCCTTAGCTAGAGTTAGGCACTCCTGAATCAATGAGAACCGTCATTTTGTTAATTTCATCAACATGTTCATTTCTTTCAGCTCCATGTTCATGCATGTCTTTTAACCCGGAAACCAGAAGACTGTCCATAGGTCTAGACAATGGTACAATCTCAGTAAGTACACATAAATAAGATTTCCAGTTGAAATACTTCCCTTCCTGTGGAGTATGTATATGTATTGTGATGAGAGTTATTTCTTAGTTTTTTTCAAATTAACAGAATCATTTTCTTGCTAAGTAAAATGGAAATTACAGTGAAGCATGTTATGGTGAAGGAAGTGATTCTACATAGGAAGAGCTGTCATCAGTCTACTGACATGCTGACGAAGCTCAGCATGACCTATCACACGTACAGTAGCCAGGCTAGGGAAGTTCGGAGGCAGATGAGTGAGCTGCATGAGTCTGCCTTACTAAGAGCAAGCTGAGATACTGAACTTTGATCAGATGATTAAACATGGTGTTAACTTTCCCACACAAGCAACAGAACCCAAGAGAAATGTCTTTTTTTTTTTTTTTTAACATCTGCATGTCTGATCTTGTCTTTGATACTCTGTGTTCTCCTCCTTCTACTTCCTGATTTCCCAGCTCCCTCTAGCACGTGAATAGAATTCTGTAAATTTGTATGAATTTGTCAGGAAAGCGCAGAATCTAGGTTTTAGTCTGTAGGATAGATCCAGATTAAATATCAGACCCTTTGATTGTAGATCTTGAGGGAATTGAAGTGATTAGAGATTGGAATTTCAAGTTTTATCTACCTTCTTAATCTGACTTACTGAGTTTTAAGTAGTAAAAAGTCTCCTCTGTACATTCTCTATTTGATTAGCATTGCTTTTAGTCCCAGGCAAGAGAGGCTGTGCTTTGGGACTTGTGAATGAGAAAGCACTACTCTGGCCACACGTGCCCCCAGCATGAAAGGCCTGAGGGCCTGAGGGGTATGACCAGCCTGAGCCTCACTCCCTCTCTCCCTGCATCCTCTGTGCACTGAGACTGTGGAATTTCCTGCCCTCAAATAGCTCAGAGCTCCTTCCAACATCTTCCTGGGCCTTTTCCCTGGGTTGGTCCTTAGGAAGGTAAAACCAGTGAGTATATCCTTAGTTCTGAGGAGTGCCTAAAGGGGAGCAGTTTGAGGTCGTAGGATGTTCACACGTGTATGTAGGGCCCCTCAAGATGTTGACAGAACTTGGGAAAGGGAAGAGCAGAGGGCAGGTTGGCCACAGTGATGCAGAACTTCAAAGAATCTAAGAACCTGTATTGTCAGGTAATTGAAGGTCTGTTTGTCAGTGTTAGAGATGAGGCCACATGTTATTTAATGGTCTAACTTAATAACCCTCTAATTTTTCTTTTTTGGCACTGGGGATTGAATCCAGGCCTCACACATCCTTAGGCAAGTGCTTGGCCAGTGAGCTATTTTCCCAGCCCTTTTTGTTTTTTATTTTGAGGGTCTTGTTAAATTGCCTAGGCTATATTTGAACCAATGATCTTCCTACCTCAACCTCCCAAGTAACTGAGATGACAGTGTTCGCCACTGTGCATGGCTTAGACATATGAAATATGGGCTTCCATTTGTAGTCTTAATCCTAGTCCCTATCAGTGTTAAAGTTAGGCCTGAAATTTTCTGACCTTTGGTCAAAACATTTGTGGAGTGGCCTTTATGGAAATATTGAACAATATTGTATATAGGAGCCTCTTGGCAAATATTTATGGAATTTCCGTAATATCCAATGCATTTGGTAGGTCGAATTTCCATATGCATTTGGTAGTTAAGGGAAGATATAATATCTACCTTTATATACTTTAAGAAGAGCCATTTTTAAAAGGAGGGATGTGTTATTTATAGGATAAATTCATTTTTAAAAGATTAGAGGAAACCGGGCATGGTGACATTTGTCTGTAATCTCAGTAATTTGGGAGGCTGAGACAGGAGGATTGCAAGTTGGAGGCCAGCCCAGGCAACTTAGCAACCTGGGCAACACTGTCTCAAAATAAAAACTTTAAAAAGGACTGAGGATGTAGCTCAGTGATAGAGTACTTGCCTAGCATATGTGAAGGTCTGGGTCTAATCCTCAGTACCACAAAACAATAGATAAATAAATAAATATTAAAGGGATTGGATTGTTCAATTTACTAAAGTATTCTTTACAAAGGAAATCTGAAAAGATAAGCTGAGATTCATGAATTACCTAACAGTTCATAGAATCATGTGTATAACATTCATTGTCCCTGAAAAGACTTAGATGCATATTTCATATGGGTGGTTCTTTGCACTTTTGAAATATTGGTGATTAGTGGGAGCTGATAAATGAAGGCAAGATAGGAAACCAAAGCAAGTGATGGAGAGTTCTAGCTGTTTATTGTTTAGAAGAGGAGAAACCATCTTAGCCATTATTCCTTTTAGTAAATGAAACTGCCAGAGAGCTGGAGCATCTGTTAGGTACAGGGACTTGGTCATTTCCCTGGCTGTCAGAACAGTCGAGATACTAAACCTCACTGTACTTTGATCTTTCAAAAAGGATTGTGGCCCTGGTTTGTATAAGATAATTTCCTTAAAAGTGCCTCCTTTATGTTATTGAAGAAAATGAATTGTACACCCTATCTGAGGAATTGTAAAGAGCTCTGAGTTAAGGGAAGATACATTGAGAGAACAGCATGTTTAACATTCAAGATTCTCATTGATCACTATAATAACACGTTCTTTGCTGAAAATAGACTTTCAGCTGTTAATAGTTTACTTTCTAGACATGAAGCAATCCTGCTTCAGAGACTATACATTCTGTTTCCTGAATATAGCAAATTTGAAGAAGAAATACTGGTTAAATCTTTTAAATAAAGAAAAGACACAACCAGAAAGTAAATCCATGTTTCACTTTATTTTGCTAGATACAAAACATATTGTGAAACCTTTGAATGACAATTCAAATTAGGTTACTGAGTAATGAATTACAAATAAAGTAGAGATAACAAATGCACCTACTCTTTAAAAAGATCTTGGCCACAGGGAAGGAGAGGATGAGCCCTGGAACTAGTCTGGAGAGGAGACAAATAGCAAGAAAGTACACAAGAATTTGGAGAATTAGCTATGGGCAAGAATAAGGGCAATTTTGAAATAGAAGGGAAAGAGACAAACATTCAGTTTTTACATGTAGAAGAATACCTTTGCCCTCATAAAGTAGCAGATGAGATCACCTACAGAGAAGAGCTTAAAAATAAAGAGTCTATTTTCATACCATATCTTTTGCTTTTTCTGATTATGTCGCTCGGAATTCTCTTCTTGGTCTACAAAGTCCTTGTTATCTTCTGAGGCCTCATTCAACTGGTATTTTTCCTATTTTATTTTATTTTAGGCATATGATTCCTATACCCTACTGATTAAAATTAATCACATATATTATTCAATAGGTTAGCTATTTGATTGCTTATTTAATTTCTGCTTTGAAATGTTTTCAAGTCTGTCTCTTCTATTAAAGTGTTGAATGTTAAGGATTTGGCCAGTCTTTTTATTAGTGTGTGTGAGTGTGTGTGTGTGTGTGTGTGTGTGTGGTGCTGGGGATTGAACGCAGGGCCTTATGCATGCAAGACAAGCACTCTACCAGCTGAGCTATATCTCCAGTCCATTAATCTCTTCTTCAGCAGATCTTAGTATGATTCCTTATATGAATTAGGGATTCAATGAATAATTTGTCTCAAATAAAGTTACTGACTAGAGTACAAACTCTATTATGATTTATATAGTTAGTTGTAACAAGCACCTGCTTAAATTCCAAGATAGTATATTATTATAATTCTATTACTACATAAATATTTTTCAAATGGAAAAGTTGTACCAGTAGTTTAATTCATCTTGAGTTTTCAGAAATGTCTTGTATCCATATTGAAAGCACTCAAATTATGCTACTATTCATGCCTAAGCAGGACTTTAAAATTTTCTAGCCAACCAACAATATCTAAATATCAATGGTGTACAAAAGGTGAAGCTCAGTTCTAACATAGTGTGGCTCTTGGATTTATGATACAGTGGAGGAAACCTTAAAAATGAAGTATGAACAAATAACCGTAAACAAACAACAGTGCACTAATACTGAGCATGATGTTGGCAGCATAGTAAGGTGAGAGGAGAGAGGAAATGGAGGTCTGGGATAGCTCTCTGGAGACTGGATGTGAGCTGGATTTAGAAGAAGGGCTATGATTTGATTAGCTAAAGAGAGGAAGGTAAGGTATTTCAGGCAAAATTGCTGACATGGGAGAAAAAACATGGAGGTAAAAAGGGCAAGGAATGCTTGGAGAGAAGCCAACCCATGTGGAAATAGGATTCATGGAATATTGTGAAAGCCTTGACTCAGGATGAGTGGATAGCATTGTGTAAGGAACGAGACCCCTAATGTGGTTCCTAATGTGGAAGAGTCTCTCCACTCCACCCCAAGACTTTCTGCTATATTTAGAGGGGATAATTAACTGGAGAAGAAATGTCAACATAGAAATAAAGAGTTTCTATTATCTTCAGAGCTGTTCTTATCACCTGAGACCAGGATTTTAAACTCAAGATGTTCTATTATATTCGGAAAGCTCAAGATATTACAATAGTTATAATAATCCTAATACCCAGTAGTTCCCTCTTATACACAGTTCCACTTCCTAAGGTTTCAATTACCTGTGACTTACTGTGGTCCAAAAATATAAAATAGAAATTCCATAAATAAATAATTCATAAGTTTTAAATAACTTTTGTTTTTTGAGGTACTGGGGCTCAAAACTTAATTTTCACCAATCCTACTGGATAGTCATAGAGATGTTTATGTGTTCATCTTTATGAATATATGTTTTCTTCTCCATCATATGGAGCCAAAATTTTATTAATGTCTTGCCAAAATAAATTTATAGTCATTGAAGAGTTTGTGAACACATCCTTGAAATAATAAAATTTCTCCCTTCCCTGACAATTACTTTTATGTGTGTGTTAGTTGAAGCTTGAGACGAGTAGAAAAGATTCATCTATGTAATAGTTAACATTCAAAACAGAGATTATTGTATAAAAATAAATGTTATTGATCAAGTGTGGATTTGTTGTTGTTTTGATCGCTCCTATGATTTTTATACTCATAACATATATATTACTGTTAG